AGCCTAACAAGGGCGGTAATGAGCCGTTGTATACGCTCCCTGCGATCCTCGACGAGAGCGGCGACACCCCTGTTGTCATCGCAGACTCATTGGCTATTGCGGAGTATCTTGACGCCAAGTACCCTGACCGACCTGTGCTGCCAAAGACAGGCAGAGCTCTCGAGCATGCTTTCGAACAGTTTTTCGACCTTGTCCCGAGAAAATCCTTTGTCCAATTAATGCTAGAACCCTCGTATGGAATTCAAGAGGAGCGGAGTAAACCTTATTGGTTACGAACCAGATTGGAGTGGTATAATATCAACCTTATAGGGTTAAGCCCTGAGGGACCAGTTAGAGATGGTCATTGGAATGAGCTCGAGAAAGGACTCGATAAGCTTGCCGAAGTTCTGGATAAGAACGGTCCGGATGTTGAATGGGTCGCTGGGGGCAGCGAGCCTACACGCGCGGATTTTATCATGACAGCCTGGTTACTTTGGATCAAGATCGTCGTTCCTGATGAGTGGGAGAAAAAGGTGAAACCTTTGAATGGTGGGAGATGGGATAAGCTCTTGAAGAAGACTGAGGCATGGCAAACGGTTCTTTAAGGTAGATGTTTGTCAGTATAGATTACATCACTCTACGTAAATTACAAGGGGGGAGGGTGCAATTAACCACCGTTCTTTTAAACCTATGTGCACTTATTACATTAGTCGGTGTGTTATGAGGCAAGTAAAGAGGTTGAATTGAACTTGCTGAAGTTGATTAAGGAACCTTGGAAATTCATCCCGACAGAGACGTTTGGAATTCCCCAATTCCGCCAGTGAAATACATTTTTCACTTTGGCTAAATTTCGGCTGACAAAAGCACTATAAGCCCTGGTGGCCCGTTGTGTTCCCATCATCTATGCACTTTAAGTTTGAAGTTACATTTTAGCGATAGAAGAATGCGTAACACTGTCCAAACTTCTGCATATATGGAACGTGAAATCGTGAATGTGAAGGATGATGTCACTTCATGCGTTACTGAATTTGGCCCATAGTTTTATCATCCTGTTTTTTATTTGATATGTGCCCCTAAGGAGCAAGTAATTGAGAATAGCTCTGAAATCTGACAGAAATCGCCCATGGACATAGAAAATTCTGGCGGCTTTACAACACATGGTGAAAGGGGGGGAATCGAACTGTAATTACCTTCGAGGGTGCGAAAGACTACGGCAAAACAGTACTTGATAGACAATCTAACGAGGGAGTTGAGAAAATGAGGTAGGTGAGGAGGGAGGAAGACACCGGAGGTTCATTGGGTGCTTAGGATACGGCACAATGAGCGGGCAGACAGGTTGGCGATTCCGAAAGCAGAAGCCCAGGGAGGAGCGAGCGAAGGCAACGATCTACTACCACTGTTACGTCGAATGCTATCTCGTAGTACTTCCGCGGTGAACAGGCGACAGCGAAACACTCGAGAAAGAACATAAGAAGTTTTGAAGTTTCGCTACGATGCACCCATACCGCCGATAGACAAGGCGCTGCATCAGGAAAGTGGGAAGATCAGTAAGTATGCGGTCTATATTGTCTAGGGAGCTAGCTAGCTCGGCTAGACACACTACTTTCGCGAGATCCCTATTTACTAGTCGGTATAAAAGCTTACCATGGATCTAGGGAGTCTACATAATGGATGTAGACATTCTCAAATCGCTGATGTGCCATCTTGCCCCGCGAAAACATGTCAGAATAGGCATAGTGGACACCTCGATATGCCCAGCCTGTAAACAACAGGAGGAGACAATTGCACACTTCATGATCCTTTAGGTAACACGAAAGTCATGGGGCGAGGTTGAAGGCGAAATTCGGGCTCCAGGCAGGGTCCCTATATCTCCGGCGTAAAGCCCAGGCGGAGAGCCCAGGCGGAGAATGGGTGCGGCAGTTTTTTTATTTGGGCAAAGGAGATAGGGGCCATTGTGATGAGGATAAAGGTTTTGACAGGCGGAAAAAATACTGGAGCACCGCGCGCCGGGGAGGCGCAGAATATCGCCACTCTAAAGCGATTTTGGGTGATGACGGGATGCGAGCGTCGACCTCGTCGTGCGATATACAAGCCCTCACAGATATTGCAACTTACAAATAATATATTAATGGAGTGTCACATATCTTTGAAATGTATCATTGAACTACCATGTCCGAGCCAAAAATCACACTTTTTGATATTTCATCTTTCTGCAAACCACAGGCATGGTATAATTTTTTTTGCCTCAGACCGTTACCATACGTTGATTCCATCTTCCAGGAGCCCGAATACATGGAAAGCAAGGTGAATTGACATGACGAACTGATGTCTCGTGCTGAACAGTTGTAGGCTTGTGCTGAATTATAAACAAATTCCTTACAAGACAGTTTGGGTGTCTTTCCCTGATATCGAGGATACCCTCAAGAATATTGGGGGAAAGCCGACTGGTTTCAAGCCTAACAAGGGCGGTAATGCGCCGTTGTATACGCTCCCTGCGATTCTTGACGAGAGCGGCGACACCCCCGTTGTTATTGCAGACTCGTTGGCCATTGCGGAGTATCTTGACGCCAAGTACCCTGAGCGACTGTACTGCCAAAGACGGGAAGAGCTCTCGAGCAAGCTTTTGAGCAATTTTTCGAGATTGTTCCGAACAAGCCCATTGGTCGATTAATGCAGGGACCTACATTGCAAATTCAAAATGCGCGCAGCAAGCGCTACTACGCACAGACGAGATGGGACTGGTACAACTTCAAGCCTAGCGAGATAAGTTCTGAGGGACCAGTTAGAGATGGTCATTGGAATGAGTTCGAGAAAGGCAGCGAGCCTACACGCGCGGATTTTATCATGACAGCTTGGTTACTTTGGACCAATATCGTCTCTCCTGATGAGTGGGAGAAGAAGGTAACGGCGGGAGATGGGATAGGCTGTTGGAGAAGACTGAGGCATGGCAAACGGTCGAGTGAACTTAACATCTGTCAGCGTAGATGTATATCAACCATATCAACCATATCAGATACGAGGGGAGACAATTAACCATCGTTTTTTTTGAACCTACAGGCACAGTAATAGGATCACCTTAGCCGGTGTGTCACAGGGCAGGCAAAGATGTTGAATTGAAGTCGCTGAAGTTAAGTAAAGAACCTTGGAAATTCCTATTCGTCCCGACAAAGGCGTTAGTAGCAACGTGGAATTGGAATCCCCCCAATTTAATGGATTGTTATATCCTGCTATGTCTCCTCTTTTTGGGTGAAAGGCCATGTTGGGACACCAGACACTTCGTAGAAGTACTAAGCTACCTGTCTTTAATTAAGATAGACAGACTATATGTTTAAGAGTAGAAGGTATAGACGTCACATTTATAAACATTGCTCATATAGAAGCCCATCATGATAGCGGAGACTCGGAGGGCGAGGGGAAGGAGGGGTCCCGATTGATGATATGCCCCACCGCATTTAGACTAATGTTAATGTCCACGAGCGATCAAAGTGATCCCGATATTCACGTCACACCCTATCGACATGTAGATAGTAGACAGTGGTGATCCACCAGTGACCACTTTCGCTTGCATAAACAATATAGAGCCCTGCGGCCCATTGGGTTCACATCTATGTATTTTAAGTTTGAAATTACATTTTTGGAGGTCCAAACTTCTGCATGAATGGGTCGTAAAATTGTGAACTTCAAGTAAGATGACACTCATGCAAGATATGACTTAGCCTTATGACTTTGTCCTTTTGTCATTGTAAATACTAGTATAACAAAAGGTGCAGTATGGCGGATATCTAAAGACTCAAATGTAGAACTTCCAACAGTGCTGTCGTTGTTCAATATCTATTAGAATGTATGTCTTACTCATCAAGCCTTGTTAGCTCAGTGGTAGAGCGTCAGATTCTTACAGTCCCACTGACCGGGTAAGAATATGGAGGTTGCAGGTTCGAGTCCTGTGCGGGGCACTACTTTTACCCCGTTAAATCACGGGCTCTCTCCTACCAAGCGTCCCTTTTGAATCAAGTATATATCTCCCTTTTTCCTAGTGTGAAATATTTTTAACCGTTATGGGTAACAAACATGCATATGCAAAACTACATAGAAGTTCAAAGTTCGGATCCTAGATATGACTTGGCCTTATGACTTTATTCTTTTGTCACTGTAAATACTACACCCAAAGTAAGGTCCAGTGTCTAAAGACAATGTTGAACGTTGCAACAATGGTGTCATTGTTCGATATCTATTAGAATGTATGTGCTGTCTATCAAGCCTTGTTAGCTCAGCGGTAGAGCGTCAGGTTCTTACAGTCCCACTGACCGGGTAAGAGTTTGGAGGTCGCAGGTTCGATTCCTGTGCGGGGCCATATCTTTTATCCCGTTAAATCATGGGTTCCCCTTCCTTCTTACCAAGAGTTCCTTTTGAATCAGGTTTATCTTTTTCCAAGCGTGTAAATTATTTTTGACCATTATGCTATGCTATATAGAAGTTCAAAGTTCGCATCTAAGATATATTGACTTGGCCTTGTGACTTTATTCTTTTGTCAGTGTAAATACTAGTACAACAAAAGTAAGGTACAGTAAAAAATAGCAGACTCAAATGTAAAACGTTACAACAGTGGTGCTATCGTTGTTCAATATCTATTAGAATGTATGTCCTGTCAATTACGCCTTGCTAGCTCAATGGTAGAGCGTCAGACTCTTACAGTCCTACTGACCGGGTAAGAGTCTGAAGGTTCTGTGCGAGGCCTTGTTTTTATCCCGTTAAATCATGGGTTCCTCCTCTTACCAAGAGTTCCTTTTGAATCAGGTATATCTTTTTCCGAGCGTGTAAAATATTTTTGACCATTATGCTGTAGAAGTTTAAAGTTCGCATCCAAGATATATTGATTCGGTCCTAAGACTTTATTCTTTTGTCACTGTAAATAGAAGTACAACAAAAGTAAAGTGCATTATGACAAATGTCTAAAGACTCAAATGTGAAATGTTACAGTGTTGTTGTTCAGTATCTGATAGAATGTATGTCCCGTTACTAATGCCTTGTTAGCTCAATGGTAGAGCGTCAGACTCTTACAGTCCCACTGACTGGGTAAGAGTCTGGAAGGTTGTAGGTTCGATTCCCGTGCGAGGCCATATTTTTATCCAGTTACATCCTTCTCCTACCAAGTGTTCCTATTAAACCAGCTATATATCGTTTTCCCAGCGCGTGAAATATTTCTCAAATTATATCGTGGGATAAAAGAGAGCAGAGGATCAATCTGTGGGTTTTTCAGATTTGGGAGCAGAGCATCGCCTCTCCCAGGTGTCAGCGCTGTGCCGATCGGCAGGCATCACATATTATTACTACACAAGAGCGAGTGGGTCCCACGTATCATTGAACTACCATGTCCGAGCCAAATATCACATTTTTTGATATCCCATCCCTCTGCAAACCACAGGCATGGTATCGTTATTTGTGCCTTATACCGTTATCATATGTATCCTAATTCCACCTTGCAGGAGCCCAAATACATGGAAAGCAAGGTGAATTGACATTGCCAATTGATGTTGTATGCTGAACAGTGGCAGGCTTGTGCTGAATTACAAGCAAATTCCTTACAAGACTGTTTGGGTGTCGTATCCTGATATTGAGGAAACTCTCAAGAAGATAGGTGGTAAGCCGACTGGGGTCAAGCCTAACAAGGGCGGTGGTGCACCGTTGTATACGCTCCCTGCGATTCTTGACGAGAGCGGCGACACCCCTATTGTTATCACAGACTCATTGGCTATTGCGGAGTATCTTGACGCCAAGTACCCCGGTCGACCTGTACTTCCAAAGAAGGGAACCGATCTCGAGCCTGCTTTCGAAAAGTTTTTCGAACGTGTCGTGGATGAGCCCCTCACCACAGTAATGCTGGGACCCACATTGGAAATTCAAGATGCGCAAAGTAAACCTTACTGGGCACGGACTAGACGGGACTGGTATGATCTGAACCCTAGCGAGATAAGTCCTGAGGGACCGGTGAGAGAAGGTCATTGGAAAGAGGTCGAGAAAGGATTTGACTCGCTTGCGGAACTTGTGGGTGGGGACAATCCGGGTCAATGGGCTGCAGGAGGCAATGAGCCTACACGCATCGACTTTATTATAGTAGCCTGGTTGATTTGGGTCAAGGTCGTCTCTCCTGATGAGTGGGAGAAGAGGGTTAAGCCCTTGAATGGGGGGAGATGGAATAATCTTTTGAAGAGAACTGAGGCGTGGCAAACGGTTGGATAAGTGTGTGCATGCGGAACGAGGCTTTGAATACCTATAAATACAGTGTCCCTATTTCACCGTCACGATGAATAGTGTATGCTATTGCGCTACATTTATTATTTCTAACTATATAATCTAACTGCATTAAAGTAGATATATATATTGGAATATGTTGGTTAGTGACGCATAGCCATTAACAGCTGCACACTATGCTGCTCACGGTGGGATATTGGCGGATCGGGAGACATCATTTGTCCTGCAACTAGGCATTATTTCCCTATCTATTGTGATTCATTAAAGTAGTAATAATTTATAAGGGATCATTGTCGCCGCCTAGCCTTTCAGTATTTGCAACTGATGAAGTATTAACAAACTGAATTGGTTCCTGATATTCATATCAGGAACACCATTCAGTTTCCTAATATATATTAGTTGTCAATACTCTATACAATTAATTAAGACGGTGGAATTGAGATGACTGGTTGAAGACTCATCCCGCTTACCATGTAAATTGTCCTTTACAAACGTGCCAAAGGCCAAATCGTACATAAATGGAGTGTCATGTATAGTTGAATTGTACTTATCATTGAACTACCATGTCCGAGCCAAATATCACATTTTTTGATATCCCATCTCTCTGCAAACCACAGGCATGGTATGGTTATTTGTGCCTTATACCGTTATCATATGTATCCTAATTCCACCTTGCAGGAGCCCAAATACATGGAAAGCAAGGTGAATTGATTGACGTATTAACGTCTTGTGCTGAACAATCGCAGGCTTGTGCTGAATTATAAACAAATTCCTTACAAGACAGTTTGGGTCGCTTATCCCGATATTGAGGATACGCTCAAGAAGATAGGTGGAAAGCCGACCGGTGTCAAGCCTAACAAGGGCGGTAATGAGCCGTTGTATACGCTCCCTGCGATCCTCGACGAGAGCGGCGACACCCCTGTTGTCATCGCAGACTCATTGGCCATTGCGGAGTATCTTGACGCCAAGTACCCTGACCGACCTGTGCTGCCAAAGACGGGCAGAGCTCTCGAGCATGCTTTCGAACAGTTTTTCGACCTTGTCCCGAGAAAATCCTTTGGCCAATTAATGCTAGAACCCTTGTATGGAATTCAAGAGGAGCGGAGTAAACCTTATTGGTTACGAACCAGATTGGAGTGGTATAATATCAACCCTATAGGGTTAAGCCCTGAGGGACCAGTTAGAGATGGTCATTGGAATGAGTTCGAGAAAGGACTCGATAAGCTTGCCGAAGTTCTGGATAAGAACGGTCCGGATGTTGAATGGGTCGCTGGGGGCAGCGAGCCTACACGTGCGGATTTTATCATGACAGCCTGGTTACTTTGGATCAAGATCGTCGTTCCTGATGAGTGGGAGAAAAAGGTGAAACCTTTGAATGGTGGGAGATGGGATAAGCTCTTGAAGAAGACTGAGGCATGGCAAACGGTTCTTTAAGGTAGATGTTTGTCAGTATAGATTACATCACTCTACGTAAGATACAAAGGGGGGAGGGTGCAATTAACCACCGTTCTTTTTAAACTTATGTTCACTTATTATATTAGTCGGTGTGTTATGAGGCAAGCAAAAAGGTTGAATTGAACTTGCTGAAGTTAATTAAGGAACCTTGGAAATTCCTATTCATCCCGACTGGAATTCCCCAATTCCGCCAGTGAAATACATCTTTCAGCCAAATTTCGGCTGACAAAAGCACTATAAGCCCTGGTGGCCCATTGTTTTCCCATCATCTATGCACTTTAAGTTTGAAGTCACATTTTAGCGATAGAAAAATGCGTAACACTGTCCCAACTTCTGCATAAATGGGACGTGAAATCGTGAATGTGAAGGATGATGTCACTTCATGCGTTACTGAATTTGGCCCACAGTTTTATCATCCTGTTTTATTTTATTTGATATGTGCCCTAAGGAGCAAGTAATTAAGAATAACTCTGAAATCTGACAGAAATCGCCCATGGACATAGAAAAGTCTGGATGCTTTACAACACATGGCGAAAGGGGGGGAATCGAGTTGTAATTACCTTCGAGGGTGCGAAATACTACGGCAAAACAGCACTTGATATGCGGTCTATATTGTCTAGAGCCATCTAGGAGAGTTAGCTAGCTCGGCTAGACACGGCTAGACACACTACTTTCGCGAGATCCCTATTTACTAGTCGGTATAAAAGCTTACTATAGATCTAGGGAGGCTAGGGAGTCTACATAATGGGTGTAGACATTTCCAAATCCCTGATGTGCCATCCTGCCCCGCGAAAACATGTCAGAATAGGCATAGTGGACACCTCGATATGCCCAGCCTGTAGACAAAAGGAGGAAACAACTGCACACTTCATGATCCTTTAGGTAACACGAAAGGCCTCGGGCGAGGTTGAAAGCGAAATTCGAACGCCGGACAGGATCCCTATATCTCCAGCGTAAAGCCCAAGCGGAAATGGGACATGGGTGCAACAGTTTTTTTTCATTTAGGGAAAGGAAATAGGGGTCATTGTGAGGAGGATAAAGGTTTTGACAGGCGGCAGAAAGACTGGAGTACCGCGCGCCGGGGAGGCGCAGAATATCGCCACTCTAAAGCGATTTTGGGTGATGACGGGATGCGAGCATTGACCTCGTCGTACGATATACAAGCCCTCACAGATATTTCAACTTATAAATAATATATTAATGGAGTGTCACGTATCTTTGAAATGTATCATTGAACTACCATGTCCGAGCCAAAAATCACACTTTTTGATATTTCATCTTTCTGCAAACCACAGGCATGGTATAATTTTTTTTGCCTCAGACCGTTACCATACGTTGATTCCATCTTCCAGGAGCCCGAATACATGGAAAGCAAGGTGAATTGACATGACGAACTGATGTCTCGTGCTGAACAGTTGTAGGCTTGTGCTGAATTATAAACAAATTCCTTACAAGACAGTTTGGGTGTCTTTCCCTGATATTGAGGATACCCTCAAGAAGTTTGGGGGAAATCCGACTGGTGTCAAGCCTAACAAGGGCGGTAAGGCGCCGTTGTATACGCTCCCTGCGATTCTTGACGAGAGCGGCGACACCCCCGTTGTTATTGCAGACTCGTTGGCCATTGCGGAGTATCTTGACGCCAAGTACCCTGATCGACCTATACTGCCAAAGACGGGCAGAGCTCTCGAGCAAGCTTTTGAACAGTTTTTCGAGATTGTTCCGAACAAGCCCATTGGCCGATTAATGCAAGGACCCACATTGCAAATTCAAGATGCGCGCAGCAAGCGTTACTACGCACAGACGAGATGGGACCGGTACAACTTCAAGCCTAGCGAGATAAGTCCTGAGGGACCAGTTAGAGATGGTCATTGGAATGAGTTCGAGAAAGGACTCGATAAGCTTGCCGAAGTTCTGGATACGAGCGGTCCGGATGCTGAATGGGTTGCTGGAGGCAGCGAGCCTACACGCGCGGATTTTATCATGACAGCGTGGTTACTTTGGATCAAGATCGTCTCTCCTGATGAGTGGGAGGCGAAGGTGAAGCCTTTGAATGGTGGGAGATGGGATAAGCTTTTGAAGAAGACTGAGGCATGGCAAACGGTTCTCTAAGCTAGATGTTTGTCAGTATAGATTACATCACTCTATGTAAGATACCGGGGGGAGGACAATTAACCGTTCTTTTAAGTCTATGGGCATTTATTGAATTAGTCGGTGTGCTATGAGGAAAGTAAAGAGGTTGAGCTAAGCTGCTTAGTCAATTAACGAACTTTGGAAATTAGCATTCATGACAATAGCCCGAGAGGAAGCCATATATTTACAAAGAAAAGCAAAAGCTGACATACTTATCGATAACACAAGTATGGTACCAGGCGATTACAAAAGCTATACCGATACCGTTGATCATAAGAACCA